TCTCACTGTGTGGCTCAAGCTGCCCTCAAACGCTCCATGTTGTAGCCTCTTCAGTGCTGGGATTATAGATGTGAGCCACCATAATGGTGGCAATTAATACACTTTTTATATTTAGCCTGTAGTTCAGGCTCTAGTGACCACCCTCTGAATGTGTAGCACCTTCCACCCCCACTTCTGTCGCTCAGCTCAGCTCATGCCCAGGTTGATGCCACCTGTTTCTCTGTTCCTCCTGCAGTCTGAATGAGTTCACTACCCATGGCAGTGGAGAGAGCAGTAAGTTTGTGTGCATCTGCAGATCCCATCTGCACTGAGGGAGGGAGGGGAGGGAGAGGCTGCCTTTGCTTAGTCTGCCACAACCACCCCCCACCTCTCCACCTGTACCATTTCAGAATGGTTTGGGTTCTGGAGGTCTTGGTTTCCAAGGAAGGGATGATGTTCTAAGTAAGACCCAAGAAAAGGATTCTGAGCCTTAGAGCTTTGAAGCACCCACTGGGCCCTGACCTTCCTTCAGGAAATCCTGAGCTGGCATGTAGCCTCCATGCTTGCCTACTCTGCATGAGGCCTTCGGTCCCCAGCACCTCCTCTCCTGTACAGAGCTTGGGCCCTTGTCCTGGGCTGAGAGGTTGGCATTCTTGCCTTTCCCACAGCAAAAACAGCCTCTGTTCGTGCCTTGCTCTTCGACATCTCCTTCCTCATGCTGTGCCACGTGGCCCAGACCTATGGCTCAGAGGTGAGTGAAATGAGAGCTGGTGCCATTAAGAGGCACCAACTGAATGGGGCCCCATTGCTCTCCCAAGCCAGCAGGTTCTGTTGGCCTGAATTCTGGTGCCTGCTATGTCAGTGGGTCCCCAGCATTACAGGTCCTCTAGTGACATATTCACACTGACCACTAGGTGGCAGCACAGATCCCTGTCTGCCTCCCCTGCACACATTTGTCCTTGGAAAGGGAACAGCAAAAGAGCAGGGAACTGAGGCCCAGTCCCAGGCTCAGCTCTGACAGATGCCATACCGTCCTCTCTCAGCTGGTGCCTCTCTGTCTTATCCAGGTGATTCTCTCCGAGGCAAGCTCAGGAGAGGAGGTCCCCTTCTTTGAGACCTGGATGCAGACCTGCATGCCTGAGGAGGGCAAGATTTTGAACCCTGACCACCCTTGCTTCCGGCCTGACTCCACCAAAGTAGAGTCCTTGGTGGCCTTGCTCAACAACTCCTCTGAGATGAAGCTAGTGTTAGTGGCCTAGGTCCTGCCCTTGGGGTAGTCGTGGGGGCATTCCAAGACCCCCTCCCCACATCCTGTCTCCAGCTCCTTTGTAGTGATGCTCCTCCTATCACTTTCCCTCTCTGTAGACAGATGAAGTGGCATGAAGCCTGCCTGAGCATCTCAGCAGCCATTTTGGAGATCCTCAATGCCTGGGAGAATGGGGTGCTGGCCTTCGAGTCCATCCAGGTAGCTGCATTTGTACCTGGGCCTCCCTCTGCCTGAGACACAGGGCCAGTCATCGAGAGCTTGTTAGTTTGCATTCAAGCAAATCCTAAAGCCCGAGATCATGTTTTGGTATTAGTCTTAGAATCCTTGTCTTAGCCACTTCCTCCTTCTCAGTTATCTTTGAGAAAATCAAATTTGTGTTACAGAGGTATAGAATGTGATCCCCAGCTCTCCCAGACGCCATGGGAGTGATGGCTAAGGGGAGGCAAAGAGTCCCTAAGTCGCTCTCTTCTGCTCCCCACAGAAGATCACTGACAATATCAAGGGAAAGGTATGCAGTCTGGCAGTGTGCGCTGTGGCTTGGCTTGTGGCCCACGTCCGGATGCTGGGGCTGGATGAGCGTGAGAAGTCGCTGCAGATGATCCGTCAGCTGGCAGGGCCACTGTACAGTGAGAACACCCTGCAGTTCTACAATGAGAGGTCAGTAACCTGCCCTGCCCTTCCCGCCCCTCCCCTGCAGCCGTGTGGTGAGGAGTCAGCCCTCCAGGGACACAGGCATCCCACTCTGATGCTCTCTCTCGGCCTCCACCTTCCCAGGTAGCCGCTCACTAAGCCACTTCCCCTTCCATCTAGGTTCTGACCAGTCTGCCCTGGCAGCTGAGGGGGTGCACATTCAGAGTAGCTGGACTATCACCCACCTTTTCCCCTTTCCTACCACTCCCTCACATTCTTATTCACCCATTCATTCAACTGGCTCGGCAGGAATTTGGTGTGAGTCTCTGTGTATTAATCCTGCACCTCCCATAGGCAGGAAATATCGACCCCAAACAGCTTGACATCTGTCCTCCAGGCTCCAAATTCCAGAAAACGAGCTGAGGTAGAAGAGCAAAGGGATTAGCTGGCTTGGCTGTGTCACTGTCGAGGAACTCTGAGCCATCTGCAGCTTTTATGGCTTCCTTCCCCCACCCCCAGCTGTCCTGGTCACCAATTCAAGTCCTGGCTCTTCAGGGACTTCCACTAGGCTGAGTCCAGTCGCTTCATTCACTCCACTGTCAAGTTGTTTGACTGTTGGTTTTTAATGTGGCAAGAAGCATGTAATAGGCAATTTACCATTTCAGCTGTGTTTATATGTGTCATTCAGTATATGGGATCTGTTGTGAAACAGCCCTCCAGGCATTTTTCATCTTGTATATCTGGGCCTTTTACCCAACAAACATTGTCCACCTTCCCTTCTCTCAGTTCCTGGCAGCTACCATGCTGTATCCTGTCCCAGAGTTTGGCTACGCTTAGATACTTCATATAACTAGAATTACGTAATATCTGCCTTCTCATGACTTTACTCAGCATAATTTCCTCAAAATTCACTCATATTCCAGCATGTGACAGGATTTCCTTCCTTCTTTTTTTTTTTTTTT